TTCCATTCTCTTTTCGCCTTCGCGAAAAGTTCCACTTGCCCTATGTGAGCGCCCCCACTGGCACTGAATGCGGAGCGCAGCACGGCAGCACGGCGCACAAGGGACGGTGCGACAATGGATAAATGTGAACGTGTAAAGTTAGTGCTATATACCAAACTAGCGACTTCATAATAATGCAGACTTGCAGACACATGGACGAAATTAAAAATATGGTTCTAATACATAATTAATTTAAATAAATCAGCTATTAAACATAAATATTATTTGTTTGGAACTTTTGCGTTTCATAAACATAAAGTTGTAAGTAAACTTGTGAATATTTCAAGCTGCACACTATTATCAGTAGTATTCATTACTCACTTCTTGCCACAACACTGGTGTCGAGAATTCGTTAACGATGACATTCTATTAACTTCATAATATACATACATAAGTACATAAAAAGCAATCAACTCCAAAGGTTTGCCAAAGTGCCATCATTCTGCATACATCAGTGTAATCTAAAGCTGCGTTTATATTGCACAATATTACTTGCCCAAGAACTTGCTAACTTACATTGTTTTTTAAAAACCGCGAGTCTCTAAATTTTCTACGATACTATTTAATTACAGAAATCTGTAATAAAATGGAAAATGTGTTAATCTATTCAGATTTCAAATAATGTTCTATTCCTACACAAATAGTGGCAGTAGAGAGTGATATGTGCGCCCCGCCAGTAACTAGGTGTGTGTAAATGCGCCACTGGGCCCGGGTATCTCAACGCGAACGATTGCCACAGTCCCACAGCCTCGCAGTTTTTGCGCTCCCTTTACAAACAACGTGTCACACTGTCACTGCAAACACTAACAGATAATTTAAACATATGATAATTTTAACATACAAAATGTTCTAAAAGATGCGAGTCGAGTAACAATGTAACCAGTTGTAATAAAAAGCTCATTAATTATTAAATTAATAAATATTTAGGCCACCAACATTAACTTCTCCAGTGTGTAATATGTCACGTAAACTTGGAAGTTACGAGTACCACGTTTATACTCAGCATTGATACAAAAATGTTAAAGATATAACGATAGAATTTTAGTTAAACGTCGTTTAAGATACAGTCAAGCCTCATTATTATTCCGAAATATCAAGTAATGGGCAGCCACACTGTTTATTTAGCGACCGGTTGTCCGGCCACCGCGCCCGCCGCTGACGACGCTGATCATCTCCGGCGCGATTACTTATCCTTAGTCTTACTACGGATAAGTAACTTCCCAAGCCCTTTTATCGCTCGTTAAGTTATGTTAAGCTAAATTTACACCTATTCCTATTTTTCTTATCTCCCGGTAAGACTATTTAAATCTAGTTCGTGTGTCAATAATTTGCATAATTGTGTAAATGACTTCTTCTATGGCAATTTTATGAATGCGCTAATTCCTGCCTACACCAAAAATAAACAAGGCAATTCTAAGTTTGCGTTTTACATTTACAAGTTATCGAACATTCACATAAAAGAATGAATACTAATATTATGTCGCCTTTGATAGTGCCGTTAATAAGTAAGTTACAAAAATCGTTATGAAGCGGAATTTGAAAAATTTGGAGATGGCGAGGAATTACACTTTAATGTTGTCGTTTGCAACCGGACTTGGCGCGGCTCAAGGACACACTCGACAGTTCACGGAATATCGCACCGTGTTCCGTATGCATTACTTGTATAGTTAACTACTATGCTGTTTCCATAGTTACTATATTTAAACAATTTCAGTATCCATTGAATAACATGTACTTTACAAGTTATTAGTTAGTGAATAAACATGTTACATATTCACTTACGAACTTAAGTTTTAAGATAATGGCTCGTGTTGGTAATTTTAAAACGCGCAAAAATTAAGCGTTTTTGCCTTCTAATGACCAGTTTC